AACCTTCCTGTGCCTGAACAGTTACTAACGTCCATGTTTGTTTTTAAAATAAAAAATTGTCTGTGCACATGTCTAATGGTATTGATTCACTTCAGCTCTAAGCCAAATGAAAACCTGGGGTGCAGTTAAATCAGGACCACAGACACACTTTCAGGCAGTGGCGGTTCTACACAGGGGCCCACGGGGGCCGGTGCCCCAGTCCAGGTGTCACTGGCCCCTGAGCTGAGTAATAAACTGATAACTTTATGACGATAACATGTGCTGGCGCCGAAACCAGCACTAACATGGCTCTGAGCTCAATACGAGGAATTACAGCAACGCACCCAAACTGCAGCTCAGCTTTGCTCTCCGTGTCGTCATACGACGTACGGACTCGTGGTTGACGTGCAGTTGGATCATCAACGTACTGGACGACGTCGGCACCTCCGCCAGGACCCCCATGACCTTTATAGGACCAGTGGTGAGTCATTAACAGCATGCCAGCTGCTGAGGATGGACGCTTAGCGTTCCTTGTTAAATGAGATGTATGAGTACCAGGGTCACTGGTTGTGGCTTAAATGTATGATATGTACGATACTCTACATTTTATTGTTGTAATTACACAAAGCGTCACGTCTCCGTGGTTGTGTGGAGCCTTTGCTGGGGTCCCTGTTAAACATTTCAACACTGGTTCTGATGACCTCATTGTTTCAGTTGATGCATTTTTACTAAAAAATAAGCATTAGTTAAATTTTTGCGGAGCCCTGGTAGGGACATGGAGAAAGCAAAAAACAGGGAGAGGAAAAAAAAATAGCGCTATCTTTTGGAAGATCTGGCAGAAGTCACATCAGTACCTATGAAGCGTTCCAGAGGACTGGAGTCCATCGGGTCGGCCAGGTCAGAGTGGCCTCTTCAGGTGTGAAAACTGGGCCCGTTGCTAAGCGCTGCTTGAATGTCTTTATAGTTTAGGCCGATTGCGAAATAAAACTCTCGTACGACGAGATCTCGCAAAAGTCACATCAATCCCTGGAAAGTTTTGCCAGACCTTGCAAAAGATACCTCTATTTTTCTCCCTCTCCTTTTGTCCCTTCCGGGTTTCCGTACTTCCACTGTTCTTTGTCCCAAACTGCCAAAAAGACCCAGAAGTATATAAACCTAAAGTTCTGCGAGATCTCGACAAAGTTTTGTGAGATCTTGCAAAAGATACCTCTGTTTGTTTTTTCTTTGTCTGTTCTCTGTTTTCTTTTTGTTTTTTTCTCTCCTTGTCCCTTCCGCGGTTAGAATTTAAGTTTTAATATAAAGTAGATAAAAGTTTCTTAGATGTCATTGTTGTGGTTTTGAATGTGGCCCAGCTGGTCTAGAACTGGTCCAGGTAGAAGAAAGAACACAATGAGATGAGTTTTGTGGCAACACTGACATGATGAATCCATGAATCCGGACCATCATCCTCTCACTGCTGCCTTCACACGAGCCCCGTGAGCTGACGTCACCGTCACGCTTGTCAGCAGCAAATCTGTGCTGAGAGCTGCGCAGCCGCTCTGCGCATCCGATCTGAGGTGGACAACGCAGCCATTTCTCTGCCCTCTCGCGAAGGGGAAAAAAAGAAAGCAGCAGGATGAGGCGTTTGTCCATCACGCGCACACACTGACTGGCAGCGTGACGTGAGGCTGAAGTCCGCATCACGGATCGGGAAGTGCGGTCGCCAAACTTTCTCAATCCAACGCCTGCGCAGACAAAAAAACAAACAAACAAACAAAAACCCAGCTCTCTCCTCCGTTTGGTTCCTGTGTTTTTGCTTTTTGTTGTCAGCCATGGAGGGAAATGTGCACGGAGGAGGAGGAGGAGGAGGCGGCAGCGACGTGGCGGCGATGCACGTGAAGACTGAAGCGGTGGATGAAAACCCATCTGCGCTGGTTCTGGGCAGCCAGGAGCCGCCTGCGCCCTGCGGAGATACCGCATGCAGAGGAGGAGGAGGAGGAGGGGAAGGGACTGCAGAGGAGCTGGCTGACACAGAGCTGCAAGCTGCCACCACAGCTACTCCTGTCATACTGTGTGAGCATCGTCCCGCTTCCTTCACTGTGCACAACACCTGAAGGCTTCACTGTCGCTGTTTAGCATCTTATAAACTGCCAATAGAAATGTGCTGCTGTCTCATCACACCATGGGTCTGTTCTCTGCTCTGTCATCAGATCCTGTGAGTACAGATCGTTTCTTCACCACATCAGGGGATGGAAAAACCTACCTGAAGATAGCTCCAGGTGAGAACACATCACAGGACATGCTGCTCATAATTCTGTCAACTTGTGCAGCAGCTTCCATCAGAATCCAATAAAACACACACATGTAGACAGCAGATGGACAGGTGCCCATGAGCCTGACGTCCTCCGTGTAGACAACATGACAGTAGTCATATTATAATTATAATCATATCACTTTCCAACTGATAAACTGCACGACCACGGCTGCTCAGACCAAACCCTGCAGCGTGACAGTGTTATAATGCCATGTTTTATTAAAGTTTCTGCAATATATTGAAGAAATTCAAACTGTACATACTATAGATATTTAACTAACTGTGCTTTGTATTTGTTCACCTCCTGCAGTTCAGCCCAGTTCAGCCCAGTTTAGCCCAGTTTAGCCCAGTTCAGCCCAGTTTAGCCCAGTTTAGCCCAGTTCAGCCCAGTTCAGCCCAGTTTAGCCACAGGACTGTTTGTTAGCTCACTCCTGACTTCTTGGTTGTGCCGAGGACTGCAGAATTTTTCGTTTTTAATAGAAACGGTCTGTTTTTGCAGATTTCTAAAATCAGAGCTGTAGAAAAAAATGACTTTTCTAAAATATCTGGATTTTAGGCTTTAATTTGTGTTTCAGTTTGTGTTCAGTATCACAGGTGATGGAGGATTGTCAGAAAGCTGAGGAGCAAGAGATTCTTCTTTCTTTTTTTACTTTGTTAAAGCATTTCGTGACAGTGACCGTCTCATTGCTGGCTGCACAAAAGTTTCCCCACGGGGATATTAAAGATTTTGAACTTGAACTTGAACTTTTTTTTTGAACTTTTTCCTGATAAATTGTTGTTCTGGGCTCCAGATTCAACGATAATTATTATTTATTATAATTTAGCCAAAAATGTTCTGCTTCATCGTTGGTGTGGTTTGATCAGATTTGATTGATAGCAACAAATCAAACCAACAACTTTAATTTACATTTTAAATGTTGCTACATTATAATGGGAGGAATTATGGAATGCTGTTAAACGCAGCATGAAATAAATACATAAATTATTTAAAAGTCCTACAAAAAAAATATAAATCTAGTTAAAAAAATAAATCCTGAAATTAATAAATGAGGTAATACATACATAACTAGATGTAATAAGTTTTTTTTTTCCTAAGGATGTATTTATTTCACAGTAAAACATTATTTAGCGTTGAATAAAAGGACATCAGGAAAAGGAGTGTGACACTGGTTTTTCAAATTAAGAGCACAAAGACAAACATGACCACAAAAACCTTTCTGCTGTAACTTTGGGAGTCTTGTGTCTTCAGGGCGCTGCATTTCTTTTATATCAGTGTACATGTACAGTTTTGGATTTCTCTCCTTTGAACCCACCTACACATGAAGTGACCTCGCTAAGTCTTCACGCCTCTGCCTGTTGCAGCTTCGGTGATGCCACCTGCTCCCTCAGAGAAGACGCTTTCCTCCGGCTCGGATTTCTCCTCCAAAGCCGTGCTGTGTCTGATCGAGGCGGTCGGCCGCCGCTGGGGCCTGTACGAGACTCGGGAACGTTCTCAGCTCTTCCAGAGCGTCCAGGAGGAGATGGCCTCCAAGGGCCACGTGCTTCCTGTCGAGAAGATCCGCCGCAAGTGGAACAACCTTATTGTCACGTACAAGAGGGTTAAAGACCGCAGCCGGGAGACGGGACATGCTAAGACGTCCTGGGAGTTCTTTGATGTAAGTGTTTGAGGAGAAACCTGAGGACAGAATTAGTTCTTCTTCTTAAACGCCACATGGAGGATTTGGACCAAATGTGAAAATATCTTTCGACAAAAACATCAGAACTGGATCAGGTTGGAGTTCTGACCTAGAAACCAGCAGCCTTTAACAATCCTTGCGAGTTTCATTATAACATTTGGAATAAAGCTGCCACTGGGGCACACCTGCTCTCTGCTCATTCTGCTCCCACTTCTGACTTCCTCTTCTTTGCTAACTCCTCGTCTCCAGGATGGTTTTGCATACTGTGTGTCTGCACCACAGGCTGTGAGTACAGACTGACAGGCTGTATAAATTAGCATAGCATTTCCATGTCTGTGGTATATTTTACCTCAAAGACAAATGCAACTAACCACAAAGCTGTTAACAACAGCTTTCTAATCATAGTTGAGCAGCTATAGCGAGGCTTGGCTGCGCTCTGCTGCCGTGGCTTCAGACGGTGTGTACAGTAGAAAGTGATCCAGTAAGAACAATAGATCTCTATAAGAGCGTTTGGAAGGTGGCGTGTTAACAAAACTAAACCACAACAGCAATGTTGTTGCTCTGCTCACTAGCTACATTAGCATGTCTGGCTAAAGTATCCCAGCAGTATTTCCAAAGGTGAGGGGATGTGAATAGCTTCTTGTTTTACAGAGTTACAGGCTACATTAGACATTGGCTAGAAATGAGAAGCCTAGTTTTGCTAATCAGACGCCCACTGGTAAATGTAAATGGTCAACTCTTGCTTTTGAGGCGCTCATCTGGATCCTGCAGCTGTTTGATGCTGCACGTATTTAATGAACTCCGAGGAAATCCTTCTACACCTGGAAGCAACGAGCTAAACGTAAGTCACTGTTAACACTTTGTCAAAACCTTGATTACAAATATTGTTGGTGAGTCTCATTAATGTAATCTGTTCCTGACTCGGTCTTCCCTGTATTTTTAAAGACGTTTCAGTTTTAGTAGATCTGGGATTGTCGAGCAAAGTACATGAGGCAAAGCCCAACATAAATGAAAGGTGTTTGGTGAATCTGAAGAGGTCTGCCTAGAGCAACTACAAGCATGCAGACTGTGTCTTTTGTGCTTTTTGGACCAATATCGGTGCTGAAATATGGAAAAATCCTTCCCCAAATCCCTTCACATAACTCAAAGTACCTCATTTGTTCGTGCCTACTAGTGTGGGTCCACGCATCAAAGACTTGCGCCGTGTTAAAAGTGATAAATGCTGCTAGCTTGGACCTGCTAAGATTGCCATTGCAGCTTTCCGAAACACTTACCAGGATGCCCATTCACACATGAACCGCTGAGTTGGTGTCAGATTAATGGAACGGAATGCCGACTCAGAAGTCTGTTCACTCATGTCCGTCCTTTATGTCTTTTCTCTCTCCAGCTAATGGACGCCACGCTCTGCGACACTATCGGCACTCAGATCATCAACAACAAAAGAAACAAAGGCGGCCACGCAGTTTCTACGCTGCCGAGTCCTTTGACAAAGATCGCCGCAAAACCAGCACAGCTCCCGCAGCCGGCCACCATCATCCGCCCCAACGGGGACTTTGCTACGCCCGGTGGTGTGGAGGCCGTCGGCCTGGGGCCTGCCACCAGTCAAATCAGCAGCACCACAGCCAGTACCTCGGTGAATGCAGCAACCGTTAGTCCAACAAATGGTCCCGATCTCAAACCCCTGATTGTCCTAAATGGTGACATTGTTAGCACCAGTATCCATCCAGCCACCATTGTGCCAGCTCCGTCTTTCATCTCCTCACCTTGTTTCACAGAAGCAGCCTCTACATCCCCTTCTCTTGGCTCAACCAGCAACACAGACCTCAGCACAGCCGGCTACACAAACTGTAAAACTCCATCCTTCTCCCCTGGCGTCATCCCTTTCCGCCTTAGTACAGCGCCGCTTCCCCACAATCAGAATCTCCTCAGCCTCTCCTCTTCGTTCCCCCCTACGCCCTCCTGCCTCACTTCCTCTGTCGCCACCTCGTTGTCTGCAGCGACCACGGCAGGAACTGAAGGGCAGAGCCAGAAAGGGAACAAGGAGCAGAGCAGCGTTACGTTGTTCCAGGAGATCCTGAAGCAGCAGGAGGAGCAGGCCTACCTGGATCGAGTGGCTCGCCGCAGGGTTGAAGCCAGGGAGAAGAGGCGCGAGAGGAGGGAGGTGCGAATGTCGGAGTCCCTGGGAAGGATCGCCACGGCTCTGGAGCTGCTCTCCTCCAAACAGGACACGGTCATCGCCCTGCTGCAGAGGCTGGCTGATCGGAAGTGATGGAGGCTTGACAGCATTGCTTCTTTGAACTCCATCCTGAGATCATGCTTGTGCAAACATCACCTGCCGTATTGTGACCAGGATGTAACGCTACTGAAAAGAGAACTAAAAAAAAAAAAAAGAACTTTTCTAAATTACAGAGAAGTGAAATGTTTGATTATTGTTGAACGCTTTACATTTTGCTGCACTAACATCCATTAAAAAAGATTCTCTTTCAAAGTACAGATTCAACAACAAAGTTAAGAGTAAAATTAATGTTTCTGTTAAATCTTACTTTTTATCTAAAAAACACGTTCATTACAGTCCAGACAGCGTTTCATGTATACGTTCTGATCCTCGAGCTCGACGCTTCAGCACATTCAGTAGAAATTAAGTGTCTGCTTTAGCTTATGCAGGTTTATGTGAATACTGAGAAAAAAACTGTACAAAGTCCTTTGAACACAGACTGCAGTGGCCACAGTGCAGGAGTTTGTGGGTACTTCTAAATGATTTCTGTGCAGATGTGTCGTTTTCACATTCGTGGGGTTAGGGTTAGGGCCTGAGGT